AATGAAAAAAAAACATATCAATGAACGATTCAGTTCAAAATTGTTAGGACTTGCATACTAGCTAAATAACAGAATCAAAGATGAAGAATAGTTGCAAAAGTGTATCGAAAATACTTCTCACAGATGCATTATTCAGCGTTTTGTTTTTAAAAATTCGTAATCTAACGCTTGATTTATTGAAGACTGAAGTGTAAGTGCTAATAACTTTCCGAGAATTTTGTACAAATAAAAGATACTGACATTCTTAACATTGAACATGCTCTTCAGTATTAGAGTAACCCTCATTCTACTTCACATTTTTAGTATGAAAGTTGTTAAAAACGATTTACTGCAAATGGTCGTTAGTCAGAGGCACTGAATATCAGAACCTCTTGAAAATGGTTTAAATGCAATCAGATCCTAAACATGGAGAAGAGTTATTCAACATTAGACATTTTAAAACATCAGTACGACTTTCCCACGAACTTGGTAAAATGGAAAATATAACATCAAATCATCGGACTGTAAAAAGACTTTTTTTAAAGGACAAGCATCTAATTGCATGTCATCACTAAGTCGTTTTTTACCTGTTAGCTCCCCACTTAGTTTGAATAGATAAAGAATTTTTACAAGTTTCTGAGCACACGTTAAGTTCTTAACTCACCAAACAATTCGAATTCCAAATGTCAACAGAAGCCTTTTATTGCAGAGTCTTTTGCTTTCTCCCCTCAATCGTTTAATGTTTTAAGACGTAGAGCTTTCGAAACTTGGAAAAATTGTTTTATTGGGACAACAAACATCATAACACAAATTAAGCTAATAAGTGATTTTATCAGTAATGTTTTTCAACAAGTCATTCATAAACAAATTTGTTTTCCATCCAAAAAATGTTTTTCAAATCCAAGATATTTCCTTGCGAGTAGTCCGTAGATTTAACTTTCATCATTTGATAGAAAAGAGTGAATTTTCCAGCTTTGAAACATATTTTGGAAAGAAAGTGAATTATACAGAGTTTAGAACTGAGAGGAGAAGCTCCTCTGCGAGTTTCATAGATTCCTACATTATTAGTAAAACTACATGAAAATGAGTAGGGAAACAGACTAGGCTTTCAGAATCAACAGATGAAGGTAAGCTGGAATCACCTAAGTTGAGATATGGACATTCTGAATGATTATTGTCTGTAATTACAAGTTCGTCTGAGACTAGTAGAACGGTATTTTCGCCCTGAAACTTGATATCTGAATGAACCTACATTCCAATGTTAATATCCACATGGAGAATCGAACCCATTTACTGAAGCTTTGAAAACCAGTGACATATCCAATAAGCAACTAAGACCAAATATTTGATAAGAAAAATCTGTTTGTTTAAAGACAGTAAACCCTGGAAAATTATTTCCTTTTACTTCAGTACACTATGGCAACAGTTGTTGATTGAACTTGAATAAACCAATCACAATTAATTTGTCTACCATTGGATAACTTAATTATTGTTTATATGAATTATGCTTTTATTTAAAAGAGACACTCATTCAAGACTATTTATCCGTTGATACATTACATAGATAGATTCATTTTATTTTGTTTGTTTGAATTATCCTATTGATGTTTAAGACTAAAATTGATTAGGCTCTTATTGGCAATATATGTGCATCCTGTAAGGAGATCGCCTCGATATTACTTCAAGTCATAAACAATCTAAGCAAAGATGGTAGATAACATAGTTAACATTATCACTATGAAAACGAAAAAAATCTCTGTTGTTAATGTTTTATCATTTGAAATAATATTTGAAAACAAATGAATTCATCTTTTCTTCATGATGAAGATTTTGTTTAAACAACTGCTTCAATGTATTGTGAAGATGTTTGTTAGGATCATATGAATAGTAAAATATTTAAACATGACTACAATGTGAAAGTTTTTAACAAGCATCTATTATTAAATATATCTTAAATGAATACGTTCAATAGTTATTTGTACTTTTATTTGTACATTATTAACATTTTCGTGTGTATGTGGGATAGGATATTGACTAGGGACTCCAATCGAAGTAAGTGACTTCCTCAGGAAATCAATTCTCCAAAAATTGAATTGTAAGGTCTAAACCATAGTGTAGTGGAGAACTGTCAGACATTACAATGTAATATTAGAAAGGAATCAGAATAGTCTTGTACACCATTCATTCTCTCATCTTCCTGGATTCCATGTATATCACTGGTTTTGAATAAAAGTTTTTCAACTCCTCATAATTGACCTTCAGTATCCAACAACCTGATGTATGCTTCGGACATTCACTTTTTGCCCTCTCAGTTTTGTGAAAATAATCTCACTCCACATAGACGTAGTGAGTAACATTTCTCTAGCAGAGCCTATGGTCACGAGGATGGAACTCTATCCTCAGCTTTTAATATCACTTTAATATATAAATGATAGAAAGTTTCCGTTCTCCGTTTACGTTAAAAGGTTTAGTATTTACTTAAATCTGCTACAATTTTAGTCAAAAGTTTCAAAGAATTATATTACACGGGTTGACTATCGAGTTTATAGTTTATATAATTTCTCAAACTCATTAACCTGACCTGATAATAGCCTAAAGCCATATATGATCAATAGATTTACATAAGATTGACATAAATATGTACATAAATACGTCTTTACGCGAAGAATTTGAACAGATTTAGTTGTTGATACCTTGGAGTGGTGGTCGAGCTTGCCTATTGTGATGAACCATTCGAGTTATACTGGCTGGAAAAATCGTTCCTCAAGGTCCTATGATGCCAGACAGGTTGGCTGAAGAGCGATGAGACTAAAAGCAGCAAACCCAAGGTCTGAGGATGAAGTCGTACTGCTAAATGTACAGAAGTGTGACGACAGCAAGTTGTTTCCTTCAGACAACCAGTATAACAGCAATGCTGCCTTCCCACAAGGAGGGGTGGGGTTAGAACATGTCGAACCTAAAAATGCGAACCTGGCCTTATCCCACAGATATCCGTATCCAGTGGTAAGGTCCCAACAAGTACGAAGTTAACAAAAAGTTCGTTTAAGGCCGACCTGAAGCACTTGTTCCTTGGGCACTGCCGTCACGCTCTCAGGTCATTAAGACGACCCCTTATCCAATTTCATTTTCAAGTACCACTGAAGAACCCTTGCATAGTGTGATCAACCAGGAAGTGATAATCGCCCTCATACCTCTAACGGCACTCAAGACCGCCAAATAACTTACATTGACAATACACATTAAAGATTAAACATTTCACTCCAAATCTCAGATTTATTTAAGTGACTACTGTATTTATCTTCGATTTAGTTTGTTTTTTTCCCGGAAGAATTAGAGAGATTGTCAAGTGAAACGTTACAGTTTATTTTGTTACACAAAAATCTGTCATTGAAAATGAACTTATCAACTTAAATAAAATTGAATCATTGAACTGTTTCATATTGAAAGTTGGTACTTCACTTGTATACACAGATGATTGAATTATCTTGTATATCAGGCAATCTATTTATTTGTTATACTTTGATTGATTATTACTTTCTATAAAAGAAATTTATACTAAATAGTAATGTCGTTATAGTAGAAATGAAGTGTTTTTCAATATTAGTTTGAATTGTTTTCAAGCACGATGATCAAGTAGTATGATCCTTTATTAAATATTGATCCAAAAACGGTTGAAATAGCAATGATCTATGAATGATAAGGAAAGAGAAATGAGATGTTTGTATCAAGATATTGAAGAAATAGATTCTTTTTCGATTAGCCCCATATTATTATGAATTCATAGTTGATATTTAGGAAGTCTTGTCAGTCTAGGTGATTGTGTGTTTGATGAAGTCTCGGGAAAAATGAAGAAATCTCAGTTGGCTTTTACGATCTTGCATCACTTTTGGCCTAGACAAGATAGACAAGATGTCTGGCGAGGGAGGAGAATGTATAATGTGCAATGATTTGCTCTGTTTTTTTTATGACTGACACCTAAACATTCGTAGGTTGCTAGTATTTGATCATAGGTTTCTCCGAAGCTTTTATGACGTGTGTGTGTGGCTACTGAGTGGAGAATGCTGTATGACACACAATACCAGAAAAAAAAGGCTAATCAACTAGTGAGACAATAGTTTTTCATCCACTATGGTAGTTGAGCCTTTTATTGTTTATATGCAACTACGGTCTACCTCAATGCGAGTCCTTAGCCGGTGTAGGAGTAAGCTAGTGAGGAAAAGTGGAAGATCTTGTGTTAAAAATCATAAAATGATCGATTGTCGAGCTGAGCCATATTCAAAGATGCAGACCATCTGATTGAGGTTTAAAAAAAACCATAATCAGTGGTTGGAGATGTTGATTATATGGCTCTGGACAAATCCTAGTGTCACAGAAGTATTCACTCTTTGTTTTTCTATGCATACTGAGTTCTAGTTAATAATATCTTTAATTCCACGAAATTGTTTTTCTCAAATCATACATAATCTATTTTACTAGCACTGATACCATTACCACTTCTGTTGTTCTAGTATTTTTGTTGATATTTTAAACTTGTTGTACCTTTCAGTATAGCTTTTTATCAGTGTTATCTATCTAAATGATTCAGTATGTTATATAGTTCGCCTATAGAGGAAATAACATAAATCCATATAGACGCAGACAATCTTTGTGTTTAAATTATACTCTATTTCTTTGCACGAACTATTTACTTAGCTTCAGAATAACACTGATGGGTTTCATCGTGAACTTGTGTAACCAATTTGGATAAGTAACAAAATGAGTAAACATTTTTTTTTAATGCATTTGATTATTAAATTACGATTAATGATACATAAATGTAATTCATGTTGATAAAGCTTGACATATAAAAATGATGATTATCATATCCATTACATGTTAATGGTTTACAGAATGTGAGTAATCAGTAGAGTTGTAAGATTATAGATGGATAGTTTTTGTAGTGAAATTGAATAACATATAAGTTTTATTTTACAACTAATAAATATTCTCTTTCTTTCTAATTCTTATCTTTAAATAAACAGGAGCTGCAGAAAAATCTTTACGTCATGGTGCTGTAGATAAAGCTCAAGCTGCAATGGAAGCAATACGTGCATTGATTCAACGACGTATTACTGAACGATCAGATATTTTCGAATTTTTAGCTAATGTTTTTCAAATTGATGTACAATCAATGACACATTTAAATGCTTTAGAATTTGCACAAAAAAGTATTGTAGCCGGTGCAAGTCAATGGTCAGCTAAAATTGCAATCACTGGTAAATTGTTATTTCTTTAGTAATAAATTATTCAATCTGTTTTTTCTTTTAAATTTTGAATGATTTAACTTTCCATGTTGCATGTGGGATATAGATTCATCGAAGAAAAAATGGATGATAGTTGTGTAATATCGTGAATTGATTGGAATTATACATTAACACTATTGGATTAAGGATCAATAGTTGCGAGTTTAAGCGTTCGCATGCGCAAATGTAGGTCGTTGGCTCGATCCCGAGATGTGGGATTGGGGATGAGCACTGCTAAAGGGTTCCATACTATAATAAAACGGTCATCCAGAGCTCCCAGTTTTTAAATGGTCGTCTAATTAACATCAATTGGTGGTTTAAACTGTGGTAAATTGAATTGTTAATTGTTAGAGATCAACTGAAAAGAAAATTTTCTCTAATGAGATAGCTTGGGAGCAAAAGCTCAGTCAATTCATAGGTTGACTTTAGTAGTACTCTCGGAAGATATATATTCCATTTATAATTCGAACAGATTTGGTTGATTGAAATTAAGAAGTATGTATATTATTAGAAGTCAGTTAGTGAAAGTATCTAGTTTTACCAATGGCATTGTAAATAACATTGTCTTTTTTTGTTTGTTTCACATTTAAGTGACAATTATCATATAAATTAATGATAGTGAATATACTTAAACCATTAATAATGTTGCAGTCTTACTAATCACCTCAACCGCGAGTTATTTTCTTGTAATTCAATTTTTTGCATGGCCTTTGATTTCAGATTGGTTAGCTAATTTTCTGTATGCTTTAAGATTGTGCTTTTGTTACTGCATATACTGAGTTTTATCATTTCGGCTTGTTCTATTTGATGAACAAGTTTTGTTCACAGTCTATTTTCTTCCTATTGTTAGCGGCTAAATTCTAACGTTCTGTATGCTAGTTAACGTTATCAAGTTTACAATAGAACCATTTAAATTAGAATAGCTTAATCATTCGTTAATTCGCGAGTATTATAGGTCAATCGGAAACCCTCAGTACATGAGTCATTATTATCAAGGTAAAATTTACAAGTATGTGCAATCATGATATTTTACTATTGAATACAAATAGAATCAATTCTCCTAAATCTTAATCCTCTGAATTCTTCATGTCCCCTTTTTTCGTTCCAAATTTATCCCACTGGATTATACTCCTTGACTATCATCTTCAAACCATGATCTTTTCGATTGCTGCTATTACCTTTACTACCTCTACCATTATGGTATTTGAATCGATAATTGTATCTCTGTGGTAATGTGGTATGGGAACCCGAACTGATGTAAGTATGCACGAAGTTCTACGTTGATACTGAATGATTGAACTGTTATAATTGAGTAAATGAATGGAGATGGGAAACTTCGTGAAATATTCCACGGTGAATTAGTTTATACATCTTTAATATGTAATTATTATGTTACCTGATATGTAAGCTTCCATTTGACATATATTTGCTGTCAACGCTATCTATTTTGCACTCATAAATTTCGTTAAATTAGTTATAAATCTATTATTTAGACTTATACAACGAATATCCTGGTTTTGTATACCGTGAAGTTTAATGTTTACGTCGGGTCATTTCAAGTCTTGTATTTTGTGGTACATAACTGACAGTTTGCTTCATAAGGGTAAAACCCGTAGTATAAGTAACAAAATACAATGACGTATACTGAAAACTGATAAATACTACTTATCATAACAAGTAGCATATATAATTTATTAATTACTCATAATAATGGTTTAGTAGTTGTTCAAGATAATAATTTGGCGATCATCTATAGAGGCTTTACAGTATTTTGATTAAAGCTAGTGCATATAATGTATGAATTCACAGCAATTTTGAACATAATGTTAATGTAACTCGTTTATCAGGTGTAAGTTTGTACTTTTCGACTTCGTCCATATTGATCGTTGTCAAATTGTCAATCAGCCAGTCAGCTACATTGTAGGACCAGGCATACATATGCATCAGTCCAAGTTGCCATACCTCATTAACACAACAAGATGAACACCGAATTCATAGTAGTTAATTTAAGAAGGATTACACAGAAGGATATAATACAGGAAGAAAGAATTAAGTCAATTTTAGTCGTTGGTGAAGATGACGATGTAGATGTAAGACGTATAGTATCCATTCAAAAGGGCATACATTAATAAAGGCATCTATCGAATAGGCGACTAGAAAAAAGAATCATATTATTAAAATTGAGCATTGAAAGGAGGAATAAAATTTTCAGTGGTGTGAAATATATTCGGTTTGCTTTTTGTTTCTCATCCCTATGACCAACCAAAAATGTAGTTATCTAAACGTCTAATGAAGAGTCCACTTTGGATAAATATTGATTCTTTCAATTTGATGACAAATTGTTATTTTTATTACGCTAATTATGTTATCTCTTAAGTCTAATTCAAACAGCTAGAGGATGATCTATTTAGAGGGCTCTTTCGAAAATACTTGAGAAATGTTTAGTGAATGCTACAAACATGTCCTTTTTTTCAGAATTAAAAAGTCATACTCGGTATTCTTTATTCTATGAATTCCCGAAAATATTGTTGTTTCTAATCTTCAGCAAAACTTAACCAACTTTTACTCATTCAGTTGTTGACATTCGTGTAAATAAGAGTCAATTGACTAGGTTTTATTTAATATTAGTCGGATGAACAGGTGGAGCTTAATAAGTGGATCTCATAGAATTGATATTATTAAATAACATGAGGATAATTAAGTATATATGTAAGTCAGATTATCATTTATTCCAGTTAAAATTATACTCAAATTACCGTTTAATAGGAAAAATGTTTAAATAGTTTATTTAAATTGTAAATCTAACTAAATTACAACAATACCTTCAAGATGATCTCACTGCGGAGGTGATAGTAGTTCATTGATTTAAACATGGGTTATATATATGCAAAAGTATCAAGTCAAATTATCATTATATCGTAACGCTAATACATAATCTTCGCTTTGCCTGTAGCTCTTCTAGAGTTACTGCCGGTCTCAAGCTCGGGTAAAAGAGGAGGGTTGAGCATGGGGTTAGCCACCCCATCCCCTGGATAACTAACTCGCCAAAAACAAAACGCTAACCAGAAAAAATAAATGATTATTTATAAGTTTAGGCGTTGTGGAGATTGTTAAGTTTTTGATTGAAATCATGAGTGAATTGAAGCTAGACCAACATGGAAAACCTGGAAGCACTGGACGCCGTTTCGTCCTACTATGGGACTCCCTAGCAGTGCGCATCCATGATCCCGCACCTCGCGAGATTCGAACCCTGGACCGTCCAGTGCTTCCAGGTTTTCCATGGTGGTCTAGCTTCAATTGACTCATGATTTCAATCAAAAACTTGACAATCTCTACAACACCTAAACTGATAATTACCATGTGCTCACTAGTGACTAGCTTCGTGAGAAAATTCTCGGAGTTCTGGTGAGAAGCCGTGACCAGTGGAGCTAATCCATGTCGGGTAGAAACAGGTGTCTACCTCAGTACAATGGAAGGCAGAGATAGGTATCTGCCACAGTACAATAGAAGATGGTCGCAAAATTTCGTGGATTGGTTGAGGTTAGACATTAACACCATTGGATGCCAGCTCAGTGGTCTAGTTGGTTAAGCGCCTGGTGCGAGGCTGATTATTTATAATTTGTTTTAATTGTTTTTTATTTTCTAGTCATTTGTTATTATCACCTTCATGTTTTTAATTTACTCTTCATCTTTCTCATGCTTTTTATTTAGATAATTATCTTTCACACATTCGGTTTTTATCTCATCATTTTTCTTTTAATTCTTGGTCTTTGCGCGATCTTATTTTAACCCTTGAAGTTGTGTACTATTGATTATATTCTTCAATGGATCAAGAGGAGTAATGAGCATAAGTAAGTAAGCAAGTAAGTAAGGAAGTGACACAGACATTTAAAATTTGGATTCCGACTACTCGACATATTGATAACTCCTGGGCTTTTAAGGGCGATTTATTGTCGCAATAAAATAATCCTGGGAACTGTATTAACTGACTGAATACAATTCATCAAAAGAGAGTATCAAAAAGAGGTAACATCAGCTTAATATAGATGTAAGTTCAGCGTACATTATAAAAATTTCCTAAACCCTTTTGGGATGTTTAAATGTGAATATCCAAATTATGCGCTATTCCACATAGATAGTCTAGTGTTGATCTGTTTTTGTAATCTTCTACGACCAGTTTTATACGTACTGCTGTCTCTTTACACTTTCCTTCTAAGTACTGTTCCTTGATTTCTGCATCCGACCGTTCGATTTTGAATTCATTTAGATTTTGTTACTTCTTTAGACCATCAACAATTTTCTATATACTTGGATAAGCGGCATTTATAAGTTCGCTAAATTCTCAATTCCACACCCACATTATACGTTTTGGGAGGTTCTTCCAAAACAAAGAAAGAATCAAACATATTTCACACTATTACGAATGTTATTTTTGCTTTCAATGCTCAGCTTTATCAATGTGGGCCTTTTTAATGGTTGCCCTTATCAATGTGCAACTGATTTCACTCTCCCTTTTGATAGTCACTTTTGTTCGCTTCCTTTCTCGTGTGAACCTAGATGGCTGAATTACAGTGTACTCGTCTGTTATATTTTCTCAACGGATAGACAACAAAGAAAATATCCTAACATTTTCATTATTTCACTTACTTTAATATTGAGTAACATAACTCAGAATCAGTCACAATGATACAAATGTAGTCATTTCTTTGTTTCCCTCCGGATCTTGAGTTCCATTGTTCCTTCATGAATACTTTTTCTCTATGTCTAATAATAATAATAATAATAATATTTTCTGAAAATAATAATTACAGAATTCACGCAAGTTAACAGGCATGATCAATTTGATATAAATAGTAAAATTAGATGTAGAGAACAAACATGTGACATAAGATAGTTTTAAGTATTTTAGTTCAGTAATTGTTTAGGCAGTACATTTATGACATGTATTAGAGCAATCCCATGCATCAGCCGGG